GACAGATTGAGTTAACGTTTACCACTAGCAGATAACCACCGATAACCATACACGCTCGCTACAGCCGTCTTTTTCGGATCATCAGCCGTTCAGAGGGTGCTGCTCAGCATACGCATGCACTACGGATTTGCAATTCTAATCATTTGCATATCATGCGCTACTTTGCATTTCCTGAAAATTTCAGCTCACTCGCGTAAGTCCTTCATGGTGTTGCAATTTTCACAAACGTGAGTGTAATTATGCTTTATTCTCATTTTTAAATTTTAATCATATTTGTTATAAAATGTAAGTGGTCTTTTGGGAAAACACCATTTTCATAGTGGGACATTAATTATCAATATATCGCCATGTGACCGGCAGTCAATATATTAACCTCTAAACAAAGTTTCTCTCCTCCTTCAGCTTATGCTCATCTAGCATTTATTTCAGTTTTCTTCTCGGAAATGTGGAGGTTACTATAATTTTTTAAAAAGGCACTTTGAAACCAATACGTCTTAGTCCTTGGGTTCATATAAAATTCCCCGGCTTTTCTAATCAATTTTCGAATTCCAATTTTTCTAAGTTTTCTAGGTAGCAGGGCACACCTGTCTTACTTACATTTACAAATATAGTATTATAAATATCGGTTAAACAGGGTTCGTACACATTTTTGCACATGGAAATTAAGTACTTTTAAGGACCATAAATGAAAAAATTAAGGACCTATCAGCAAATAGCTAAATAAATTAAATTCATCAGCTTACATCTGAACTTCACTTTTGTAATAACATTCCAAGAATAAAATAGATCCGTAAGTAGGATGCATTCTTATTAAACATAATTTAATAAACTATAAAACAGATTTGAGAAAAAAATCCACTTTATAAAATTCATCAAGTAACATTAAATATTTTACACGTATAATAGTTGAACATATTTGAAAAAAGATTAGGGACATTTTATTAACAGATTTATGTTGATTTTTTCTTTTATGTCTCATTTTCCCACGTCTAGAGGTTTAGTAAATAGCAGGTAGATTTTATGCATAGGTTATGTTAGGATTTTATGCATAGATTTTACGCAAATGACATAGGTGAAAATGAGAAATAAAATCATAATCAGCATGATCCGTAATAGAAGATTAGCTGTTGCTACTGCTGCTGCTTACCTAGACAGAGACTTGTTGATAAGAAAAAACCTGAAAGCCTGATGGTTGGCAAGTTCTGAAAGTTAGTTGTGCTTCGTCTGTCTGAAATAGTTAGTGATGTACCTTCATATAGAGTTTCTGGGATTGCAACCTGGTTAATATATTTTAAGGTTCCAATAAGCACCTATGCAGCTGAGGCGATAAGTTGTTTTTTATTATTTTAATTCCCAATAAATGCAAAAAAAGTTTCAATATTTACATTTTTTACTGTACCTTGTGGCCACAGTAATATTAATGAAAAGCAATAATAACTTGCTTAATAGGCAGAGACAACTTAAAGTCAGCGTTAGTTATAAAAATTAAATTAGGTAGTTAAAACCCACAGTATTATATAGAATTACATGACCACTATTAAAATACAATCTAATAACACTCACAGTTTAAATACATGTAATTTATGTCACTGATTTTAACAGTATTAAGATAATTACACATTAAAAGTTACAAACAAAATATTTATGCATCTTTTTAACTTGGGTCTTCCCAGACATTTTGGTTAATTTATATCAATTTTCTTCTCTAAAACATCTGTTCTAATCTAAGAAATCTGTTTCAATACACAAACCAATGTTCTTACTTTTTCTGCTGCTTTATCTCCTAACTTGCCAATCTCTCAACAGTGTACCTAATGAGGTTTTACGTGATACCGACGAGGCAGAATTTTAAGTTAAATAATCCAAACCTCTGACAGACTGAAGCAAATTATAGTTATGTCAGAAAGCATCCATAATTTAAACTTACTAAAGAACTTGGAACATATGGGCGTTCTTATTTGACAAAATAAACTAAATTGTGGTGATGCATTAAAACGAACACCGAATTCAACAAAAATAGACTAGTAGTCAAGGATACACATTTAAATTTAATCTAGGGGCTCAGTAACTTTATCGTAGGAGCATTCAAATATTAGCACGATAAGCAAAGATAATAATTACTTACGAATTACAGAGCGGTAAGAACTACGCAACATCCGGAGGGTAAAAATTCTATCTTACAATCCAAAAATTTCAAGTTTAAACTATCTGATTGCATTATGTGAGAAATGGAAAGGGGGAGTTATAGTAAGGCTAAAGTTAAACAACTGATAATTTGCATAATAATAACTGTACATCTTTGAAGAATAATTCCTTCCTCTATGTTTCAGTTTCTTGAAAACGTTTCTTCTTTTAGAATTTTATAATTAAAGATTTATGTATTCTAAAAGACAAATGCACTTAGATATAAAGAAAGCTGCTAATTTTATTGAGTAATTGAACATTCAGAATAAATATGAAATGATATGTGGTAAGGCTGGTTTCAGAGCCGACGAGCAGAATTTTTAGATTTTGTGACACACCAAGCAACAAAGCTAGAAATGGCAAAACTTTTAGAATTAGAGCGGGAGGGAGCAGAATTTAGGAGATCATTTAAGGCAATTAGGAGGCCTAGTGGCAGAATTTAGGATCATCAGAGACTGCTCAGGGTGATGCCCTGCCAGCCCTGTGTGTATGTCCATTGAGACATATAGGTGAATCTTTTAAATTGTTTTTCAATTTCTTTATTAATAAAAAAATTCCTTTTTAGAATGCCTGTCCATGCAAAAAGATTAGAAACATTTTTTATATTTTCCATGCTTGTGTCTAATGAAAAGCTGAGAAAATAACGAGAAGATAAACATGTTAACAAAAAGACTTCTAGCATCAGAAGTACAACATTCAAACATTATATTTTCATTGTCCTTCCAAAAATTCTTCACAATGTAAGAAATTTACCATAAAATTTCTGTAAAATACATCCATTATGTATTAATAAATAAAGACATTTTGTCACATTTTTCTGGAGCCTTCTAGAATTGTGGGTCTGTAAAACTTTCCTTCAAATTCTACTAAACTTTCCAAGTTGCAATGTCTAAAATCCTAAAGAAAAATTAGCTCTACCAATTCTGTAACAGAAAAATGGCCAGAATTATTTTTAAAAAAGTCAGTTGAAAAAAGTGTAAAATTAATTTTATAGAGAAAACTGATGCATATTTTCATAATTTTGAATATTCTGAAACAATTACATGGGAAAACTTCTTACCATGAAAAGAATTTAAAGAAAAAATTTTTTAATTAATACATAGCTATTTTGCTTTTGCTATGAATTGTCTCTAAACTGTGCTTTATAGCATTTTATTACCTTTGTTTATCTTCATATTCAAAATACGGATAATAAGTCGCCAAAACGAAAAATAGGTCTCTTCATAATTGACAGCAAAAAAAAAAATATAAAGGTTTTATTTAATTATTTTGTAAAATTAATTTCAATATATTACCATTTTTTTAAATTTATCAATGTATAATGTTTAAAAAAAAAATCGTTGAAAAATTCCCAGATCTCCGATTAAAAATTTCTAAGAAACTGATATTAAATCATCAAATGTTGATAAGTCACCAAATTGTGCTGTTTAATAAAAGAATTCACATCCACAAAAGTGGGAAGTTGTTTAAGAGCTCTTCATTAGAAAAAAATGAAATAATTTTGAAATACTTATGTTTCACGCCTTGCTCAGAAACTCCAGTATCCCACCTTTCATATCAGAAACAGGAACAAATTATAACCCATGAACAGATTCAAAAGATAATCATATGTGTCAGTGAATCACCAATTCTTCCAAAATGATAATTCACACTCAAATTAGCACTTATGAAAACAAGACAGAAATTTCAGCTGATTAAAATTAAGGACCTTCTGACAATTTTGGCCGAATTTAAGGACTTTTAAGGACCAAAAGGAGATTTAAAAAAACTTAAGGACTTTTAAGGACTCTTAAGAACCGTACGAACACCCTGTTAAATTACACTTGAATATTAAATGTACATTATGCACAGAAAGTTAATGACGATTATCTTTGTCTTTTTAATGCACTTTTCAGATACTGTTGATGACAGTAACTTTTAATTAATATTATTCTGAATGCAGATTATTCTGAATGCATACACCTTTACAAAATTTAAGTCTGCAACAGTTTGCAGAATTTGTTTTGCTTCCAATAAAGAGAGGCCTACACCTAATAGCCCTCGAAATCTATCAAATTTTGATTAAAAATTATGCCTAAGTTTCTGTTGTGCCTAATTTTTAGTTTTTTTTCTTTTGGCATGTTTCTCTTCTCTCAAGTTTTCACGGTATTAAAGATCCTAAATTAAGCCAGCATTTAAGAAAAATCATTTAGAATGTTTGAACCTCTAAAAGCATCAGAATGTTTGTGTGATACAGTGTTACTGACATACAAACAACTTAAATATACAAATTTATTTATTACAAGAGCAAATTTTAAACAACTAAAAGCCACATAAACATTAATGTCAAAAGAATAAATATTATTCTTTTGACATTAATGTTACCATTGGAGCTTTATAATCTATACTTTTATTTATTCATAATGCAAAATCCACCACTGAATAAATCACAATATAAGAATCAGACTTTGTTCTCTTAAGCTCCATAACTATTGTCTACACTAAAGAGCCAAAACGTTTTGAGTTTTATGTAAATGCAGGCTTTGGGGAAAGCTGCATAAATAAATATTATAAATTTTCACAATCTGTTATCCAAACAAAAAAAAAAAAAACAGTTTAACAAACAGTTCCACTTAACTAAATCGTATCAACTTTTTCCATCCAAAAAAGATTAATATTATCCAACACAACAAAGGAAAACTTTTTATTAATCCATATTCAAAACTATATCTATAGTTTGTTTTAATTATTTCTTTTGAAATGAATAAGATATGTATATGTTAAATTTCTTTTATATGCTAAACGATAAAATAATTAAATTAAAAAAAAAAACTTACCAAAATCAGTTTCCATCTTTGTGCCTATCAAAATCTCATTAAATTTCTCTTTTGACCATTGACATGCATTTTTTTCTGTCCTGCGCAGGGGGGAAAAATAGATAAATTAAGAATCTTACAAGGAATGTTCAATCAGTTTTCTAAAACACAACAAAAGAAACAGCAAGTTACTCCACTCTAGTGGTGAGCTAAGGGAGCTGGCACAAGGCCTTTGTTAAACTTTCCTTTGATTTGTGAGAACCTTGTCCTTTCTGTTTACTTGTTTATTTATTCCAAGAAAAACTCGGCTCACCAGCGACCAAGCACTGAAGTCACTGAACACTGGTAGTTGGAATTCCGCCAAATAGACTGCCCGAATGGATATTTTTGTGGTTTTCCCCCCATGTTTAATACATATATGAGCCAGTTTCCCATAGAGAACCCTCCACGAAGGCATTCTTTCCCTAAGCAGATAGCCCTTGAATGCTTTGCCATAATTAAATAAACCAAATCAAGAAAAATTCACATCTCTCATGACATTGTCATACTCACTCATGTACATAGAGTGGTAAAAAAAACCTTTTCCGATATATGAACCCCTAGTGGCCTCTCGAAGTTCATTTAATCAACATCCAATATAACTGAAAAGATATAACCTAGAAATAAGATCAGTTTGCGATATCTATGAAGTGTCATCCTATGTAATTAAGTGATATCTGTGCTATATCTGTCATCGTGTGTAATTAAGTGAACAAAAAGTACCAAGACAGAATTTTTATTTTAATGAAAATAGATTTATTTACTTTGTCAGCTTGCAGAGACATTAGGTTATTTTGAAGCAGGAGAAATAAAAAATGAGCAATGCCCTCGCCGAGGAACCTCTCAAATTTGCATCAAGCAAGCTGACCACTACACTATGAATGCATGCTAAGGCGGCGGAGAAATACTTTATACACTCCCTTTTAAAGGGAGACAGGAGATTAGGGGACCCAACCACCAAATACTGGTGGTGGAGAATCATCATCCACCACCCTCCCCAGTTCAGGTGCCACTGTAGAGGCATTAGCTATTTTTTGAAAGCAGATGTGAAAAATGAACAATGCCCTCACCAAAACTCGAACCACAGACCTCTTGAATACACGTGCTGACCTCTACACCACAAAAGCATGCTAAGAAGGAGGGAGAAATACCTTATAAGCTTTTTATTGCCTTTAAAATACTATCATTCTACAGTATTACTATCTTTTTTAACTATCAAAAGCTCCTTGATATCAATAAATCAAAATGAAATTGCAGATACTGTAATTCGAAGGTAGGGGCTCGAGATTTTGATTATTTAAAACAACAAAGTTCTTGTAATAGTGGTTACAGTGAAAAAATTTTGAATGGCAACACCCACTTTTTTCTTGTGCATACAGATCAGTGCACTGAAAAGCCACGACTTAAGAGCAATACACGTATGATAAAAATTGGCGGCATAAAACATTTGCAAAGAAGAGCATTACAAAGGACCAACGACAAAACTGAGAGGATGTGCTCTGATGCACTTTACATAATTCACACAAATAGAGAGTAGAAGGATCAATCACAGAACACATGTACAAAGCAAACTTGTAGAAAATCTTTAATAAGAGTGTGGGGAGATTGTTTCTTCAATCAAGTGTTCAAATGTGCTAAGTTGACACTTATAGGGAAACAACGAGGTGAAATGATAAGACACTTTTACTTGAACGGCAAAAATGCTGCCGAAGGTGTGCGAGATTATTGGCAAAATCATAAGCTAAGATGAGGCTCATGTTTCATTAAAAATGTGCGTGACGTAAACCCATCTGAAAAAACTGGATGCACATGTAATAGACTGTGATCCAAATGACCATGAGTTAGTGATTATATTATTATGAGGGTACACTTTTAGCTTTTAGAAACTACAAGTTACTAAATATTAAATGCATTTACAAATTATTAAATATTACATCTTCCGTTTTTTTAAAGAGTTAAAGTTTTAACAGTCTAAAATCAGCCAATACCGGCCGGCTTTCTAATCACTCTCCACTTCTAGTTAGCTCACCGTTTATTGTTTCTGAGTTAGCAGAGTTTGGTAGTTGATCTTCTAAACTTTGCCATGAGAATATCTGGAATCATATCCTTTTACATGTTTTCTGTGTATTAACTCCGTGTTCGTTCCTCTGATATTCTTCAACAGCTGCTGTTTTCTTTCAAACGGATCCACCTGATCTAAGTATATATGATCTAGGCGTCTTATGCACTTCTTCTACAACTGTTGGTTCCAGCGTTATTGATATACCCGAACACAATCTCCTTTATTTAGCGATGGTATGTTTTGTATGACGATTAATATGACTTCGTTAGTTCTTTCTTGGTGATTTTTTCTTTTACATTTTTCACAACTTGAGGTTTAAGTAATTCTTCAGATGTAGAAGAAACGTTCTTGTTCTTCTACTCAACCGTTGGCTGGTGATCCTAGCATCATTAGTTGGAGTTCCTATGAGCTAACAATGCTAAATAAGGATCAGCATGATCTGCTGAGCTTTCAACAATTCTTCGCCGTTTGTACTGAACGCTCTAATCCTTGACTGTGGATGGTATGACTACTTGTTATATGTTTAAATTGGTATTCTCTGCAAATCTTTACTTGCAAACTGAGGTCCATTATCAGATATCACTATCAATGGTATACCGTATCTTGCAAAATGCGATTTCATGTAACTGTTCACTGTCTGACTTTGAGTACCCGGTAGGTTTAAAATTTCAAAAAAGTTGGAATAGTAATCTACAATTAATAAATATACATCTTTGTTAATCTCAAATAAATCTGTCGCAACTTTATACCAAGGTAAATCTGTCCCAACTTTATACCAAGGTTTTTTTCAGATTTTAAGTATCACTCCCACCAGCAAAGTCCTCACCCTAAGATTATTTTGAAAATTGCATAAAGTAGCGGTTTTGTCTTCACCCAAAAGTTATTTTGGACATTGCATGGTTTCATCTTCCCCCGAAGATAACAGATAAGCATTTAACTTAATAAGAAAGGGATTTTCACTTACTAAGCATTTAACTTAATAAAGAGATCAGTTTCGCTTGAAACAATATAAAATTCTAACTATAATGTTGTTAATTAATACTTTAATAATATGGAATAAAATGTGTCTTTGAAAATGAAACAAAATCAAATATAAAGTATATATAAGCTCTATGTGTTTCCTTTTAGCTTTGCTGCACTTAAGGAATTTATATAGTATTACATTGTTTAAATAATTGATTTTTATTAGAATTTCCTGTATTTTAATTCCATGTTCTAACTGAAGATTAATTAATTTTCATTAGAAGTCAACACATGTTAAATTTCGTTTTGGTTCTGAACGAAAAGTGTTTAAGTGACAAAATGTTATTTTTATTCTGATTGATAAATGTTTCCGGTGTGCATAATTCTTTTAGGATTTTATAACTGTATTGCTATGTATGAATGAGTTGTACATTTTGTTTCATTTTATTTTATGAATAATATTAATGGATATTTTCTTTTCGTCTTTGAGAATAGAAATGATTTAAAAGTGAAAATGGTTTTATCTAGTATATTATTTAAACTATGCCACTAATGTTTTGCTTTTATGCAATAAGAATACTTTTCTTGAATTAATGTTTTATTTACCGTTATTCTGAAAAGGCATTCTAATATTTGCTACATTTTCGAATTGTGAGTTTATCAAATTTTTAAATTATTATTTTGTAATAACGTGTGTATGTGCATATATGTGTACACACACATACTTTCGTACTTACATATATACATGCAAACATGAACACATACATCCATTTCTAAATCCGGGCCTGATAACAGAACAGTATCAAAAATTTACTTTTGACACTTGAAGATAAAATTTTTTTGTTATGTTACATATTTTGTTGTGTTACATATTTTGATTGGAGGAATGGGGTCGCATTGCATGCGACATTATTTAGATTGATATAATTTAGCTTCCTGTCTCCGAATTTTCAAGTGTCTAATATAAATGTAATAGTTGTGTTATATATATAGAATTATGCCAAGTATATATTGAGTAAGCAATTCAGTTTACTTAAATAAATTTTACTTAATCATTTACAGTTAAATGCAATGTTCTAGATATATCTTATTGTGCGAAATACGTATTGAACAAAGCAATTCAGTTTACTTAAATAAATTTTACTTAATCATTTACAGTTGAATGTAATGTTTTCCTAGATATAGCTGTTACTTGTTATTACTTATGCTCACTTGTCCGACTGTAACATCAGACCAAGCCCACGAAACTCCTCGTGGCAAGGAGCACAAGATTACGCCTGGCGTTGGCAACAGCCTTCAGTGGCGTAGCCAGGGGGAAGGGGGTGTATGATGCCCCCAGGCCCCGCTCGCAGAGGGGCACCAAATAGTCTCCAAACAAGACATTTAACATATTACTGTTTTTTTTCCGGGGGGGGCCAAAAAGTATTTTGCCTCGGGCACCAGTTATGCTCACTACTCCACTGACGGCCTTCAGCACCTTAAAGGTGACAGTGTGATTTAGCTCAGTTCCATCTCCAATTTTGATGAAGAGCATCCCAGAGGTACGAGTCTGAAAGTCCTCCTATCCCCTTCCAGCAGACCACACGAGAGGACTTCCAGCTTGCTACATATTTAGAGTGCTGCCATGCCAAAAGCAAAGCAATTCGCTTGAGCAAAGCAATTCGCTTGGATCTACATAAATTTCATTTAATCACATACAGTTAAATCTCCTGTTTGCAGACATTCATGAGATAAAGGATTTTATCTGTCATCAGACAGAGTGTGCTATTTGCCTGCTTCGAGCAGAGAACTCGGAAACTGTTAAGGAGAAATGTTCGTTGACAGAGGTTAGACTATATATTTTTATGTACTCAACAAAATGAACATAAATGCACTTAAATTTTATGGTAATGTGCATTCAGTATATGGGAATGAAACATTGATAAGCTATGAAAATTTTAATAAAGGGTTTGTTTTTTTAATCTCATATAAATAAAATAACAATTTTATTATGCATTTCTGGTGAAAATGTACTCAAGTTTCTTCCATTGCAGGCAA